TTTCGGCGCAGTCTCTTGCCTTCTTTTAAATCACCTCCTGCGAGCTTCGGCCACATGAAGTTCCCGCGACTGGCTCAGCTGCAACACATATTTCAGCTTCCTCACCTGTTTCTTGAATACACTCGTATATAATAATATCTGAATCTATGTTTCAGATACTTCCACATCAGCTTCGTTTATTTCACCTGAATCGATAACTCCATACGCATTCTGCGTACATATTGCGCCAAAAATTTAAGTATAGTATAAATAAGTCTTCATATGAGTAATTTTTTAAATATCGAGCCCTAACTGCCAAAATAACCTCAGCGACATTTTTTTTCAAAATTTTCTTTTTGATGCAGAAATATTCATAGAGCATCTAGATGCATTTCTGCATCAAAATTTTGAAAAAATGTCGCTTACGTTATTTTGGCGGTTAAGGCTCGATATGTATATACATGTATAGCCAGAGGGGAATTTCGTAATCGTCTACAATAGCCAACTTTTGGTCCACTTACAACGGCCAACTTTTATCTGGTTAAAAAAAAAAAAATAAGTATATACACTTACTACTTTTTAAGTATTCTTCTACTAGTTAGTTTTTTCATTTAATAATACAAACTTGTATTATCGTTCAAGGCCGGTACTAAACATGGGACGGACCCCCCTCTAACCCTATTTTTTTTTTTTTAATATTTAAACGAATTTCCAACGTTGTCACTAGATCTTTTTTCAGTGTTTTTCAAAAATACCAAGTATTTTCATAGTATGTGCAGAATGTATTTTTTTTTAAGAAAAACTTATTCTAAAGCCAGAATTTGTTTTGGTATACTGTTGTACAGATCAAGTGAATGCGTAAAATTGTTTATTGTTTTAGTCAAATGCGTTCCTTTAAACTCAGATGGACTGTATGCAAGAAACTCGTCTTCTATTGATTTCTGATTTTCTCCTGTTGTAAATAACCTCGAATCTCTTTGAAGGTCGCTGTACAATTTCGAGCTCAAAAAGTTTCATGAGCTATGGGAAAATCATTACGATCACAACATTTAAGGCGGATTCACTGTTCGTGTCCGGACAGTTTTTGTTAGTAATTTTACGCGTTCCTTTCCCAACTTATCTCACTGAGAGCGCGACAAAAATGTGCTGAACACTCTTTGTTTGAATCAAATTGATTTTGATTTTCTGTCCGAACGACTTGATGATTCGGGTTGCCGCGTTCTCCTTTATATGCGTTTGCAGCGAATTCCATGCGTTATTTGCCCTCAAAATCATATATAGGCAACAATGTCATCAGTTGTTTGCTTCAGAACAAAATATAGGCTGCGTTTCTTTATACATTCCGGATAATCCCATTTCACAGCCGGAATAAACGTTCTTAAGAATAAATAAACAAAAAAGTTTATTCCAAACGTTCAGAATGAATAAAGAAATTCAGCCATAATGTGCCGAAATGAAAGGTGAACCGTACTTCAGCACCCTCTCCGGCAAAAATGTTTTGAGAGCAAATAACATGTGTTGACTTCGAAACCTTTCTATGTTTCACATTATGCCAGATCGGCGGTTGTTTTGACTAGCTCGGAAATGACCCTACCACACTTGTATATGTATCTAGCCATGCGATTTCGCATTTATTGGATATTATAAAAGCTAAGTGAATATTAAATAATCAACTGTAACAAAATTTTATAATTTTTCATGCCTATTACGGTAACCGACGGATGCCATCCGCACGGATCTAATCTGATTTGCACTTTCATAACAAGGGAGTGTGAAGGATTAGGTTCGTGCGAATGCCATCCTTCGGACCAGAATTCGCATGTATACTACGGATGCCATTCGCATGAATCTAATCTTTCACACTCGCTTGTTATGACAGTGCGATTCGGATAAGATCCGTGGGGATGGCATCCGTCGGATACCGTAATAAGCATGTTTATCTTCTAACTAAATATAAGGAAAAATCCGGGACCGGGCAAACACCCCCACCCTATAGTCGGGACTGCACATATATTTATAAGTATGTATACAATCGACTTGTATATATGTAAATATATATAGTCATTCATCTAGAACCTTATCGAAAACCTACCTGAAAATCGAAAAAGTTACCGTTTTTGAAATCGGCACTTACCACGATTTTGAACTTCACGTATTCGTACGCGGGACACATAATATATATATTTCATGAGAATTATAATATGAAAGTGTCTATTTAGCCAAGTAAAAAGCAAAGCAGTATACTTAAACCAGCACTTCTAGCATATATTGACCTGGGTTTTCGCACGACTGTTCCTGTTTCATCGTTTCTTTTTAGGAAATTCTTACCACAATATACATATGTATTATTTACACTAGTAGCTATTTATGTAAATATGTTTGTATTTTTTATGCTAATATATGCAAATAAAAGAAGAAAGTAAACACAACCACCATCGAGTAAATTTTTATTTGTGTCAAACTGAAATTCTTTCCAATACTAAACGGTTAGCTGATTCAAGTCTACAGCAATTTCACAAAATTAATTGAAAACTTGTATCAACCAAAGCATGGTTTCTATTTGCTCAACAATGATTTTATTTAACTAACAATATTGTCCAATGAAGGTAGTCGTTTTGTAATTATTAACAAATATACTTGTGTCCCAACTAGAAGTCTCAAATAAATTGCAGACTTTCGTGAACTAGATATTTAGTTCGCCATATCCAATTATGCCACTTGGTCTTACCTCCATATACATATGTATTATTTACACTAGTAACTATTTATGTAAATATGTTTGTATTTTTTATGCTAATATATGCAAATAAAAGAAGAAAGTAAACACAACCACCATCAAGTAAATTTTTATTTGTATCAAACTGAAATTTTTTCCAATAATAAACGGTTAGCTGATTCAAGTCTACAGCAATTTCACAAAATTAATTGAAACCTTGTATCAACCAAAGCATGGTTTCTATTTGCTCAACAAGGATTTTATTTAACTAACAATATTGTCCAATGAAGGTAGTCGTTTTGTAATTATTAACAAATATACATTTGTCCCAACTAGAAGTCTCAAATAAATTGCAGGCTTTCGTGAATATTTAGTTCGCAATATCCAACTATGACACTTGGTCACTATAACAAAATCTTGGTAATTATAACTAAGCATACATATGTGTGTTCGTGCTTCTCCACAAAGGCCATCCATCTTGAACTCTGCTCAGACCTGACAACTGAAGCTTTCAAAGCCTGATTTGCCAGATTCGTGGACCGACGTGGTCTTCCTCATTAAATTATGTCGGACAACGGGAAAGCTTTTGTAGGCGCCCAGGGGTCAATCCACTGAGAACTGTCCACATTTTTCAAGGCAATTTATACCGCCATACGCTGTGGCGGAGGAGGTCTGTGGGAATCTGCGGTTAAAAGCTTTAATACACACTTTACCGAAGTCGCGGGAAATCCCAAATTTACGTTCGAGGAATTTACCACAGTCCTAATACGAATTGAAGCGGTACTCAACTCCCGGCCGCTTTCTCCCTTGTCACTCTATCTCGGTCCTGACCAAAACGTTCGCGTGGCAGACATACAAACCCATTCCAAATTCTCGTTTCTTCATACCCTAATATGCATAGCCCTCCATACGACGTACAGTCATGCGCAGGTGGTACCACGCTCATTGGTTAAACACTACACCAAACTTTCACTCTCATCTTTTCCGTCTTTACAGAAAAAAAATAATTAGTCTGTTCCTTTGAACTTCGGACTAAAACCTGTGGAACTGTCAAACTACAATTTTACGCTCTCAAATGAGAGTAAAAGGAGAACAGATGCAGAAGTGCATAGGAACGCAAAAAGCACTATTTCCTGTAAAAACGTCAGACGGTTTGTTTACATGTCATTGGCACTACACTGATTTGGCTGAAATATCACTAAATAATTAATAAAATCTATACATATTTAAATATTTCGTTGTTTACTTCCATTTTATAACAAATATAAGGTTCTTTGCTTTCACCGCTTTCTGTTTTTGTTTGCACATGTAAATCAGCTGATCGTTTGACACTTTTCATGAACTTACAGGAAAAAAATCTCCGGACTAAATCCTGTAACTTCCGACTAGGAACAGTTGCTCAGTTACTCTCTCAAATGTGTTCCCACTTACAGGTTTTATGTCAATAGGAACGACTTGCTGTAAGTTCTGACTAAATCCTGTAAACCGGACTGCTATTGGAACAGACTAAATGTTTATTTTCGGCTAGTTGTCACCATTGCGGTAGGGCGCATCATTCGTTGCTGCACCGAACGACCTCGAGCTCGCCAAGGCACAGACGCAGAAACGTGATCCGAAACGGATGCACGGCCAGCCGCCGCACAATCCGAAAACCAGCAGGAAGCCTCCAGAGTCGCTCCGCTATCAAACGTCGCCGGATCGAGCAGCTGAAGGAGCTGCTGCCAGCACTAGCGATGCAGGGGGGCGCGGTGTTGAGGACATGGACGACTAAGGCGTTTTTTACAATTTTGTTTTATATACACAGACATATATATACAGATATACATATGTACCTACACGTAAAATGTTGAATTATATAAAAATGTATACATTAAATTTCGAACATATCCTTGTATGTACCTAGTCATTAAAACGAACACATATACACACACATATTAAAAGTTGTTAAAACGCGAAGTGCTCGAGCACTCGCAATCGAACTCTTGATCAGCATAGACTGCATCATTTATTACCTTTTTACTACAGTCCGCTTTTGCTTTGAATTCCAATAAAGACTTAAATTTTGCATCTATTTAAATAAAAATCTTGATCTCTTTTATTTAAATCCAAGAACGATAGATGTCTCTCTGCATCGTGTGTTTAAAAGGTATTAAATACACCTATTATTAAGTTGCCAAGAGCGCAACAGTGGTTCATTAAGAAATTTTCGAAATTTGTATTTCGCACAGAAACATAGCTTTTGACCTATTAAATGAATTTCAAACAAATTTATCAAAACGTTAAATATATTATAATATTTATCAAATCGTTTTTCATAACTTTTGTTTATTACTTTTTTAATTAGATGTACATAAGTATGTATATGAATCGTCACACATTAGTTCTGAGTTATCAATGTATTATTGAAATTATTTCTTTGACTTATAATAAAAATTTTTACTAGCAACATAGTTTCCTTATACATTGTATATGGTTTATAACTTCTCGTTCCATTTTCCATAAAGCGGTCAAATTGATAGTACGGATTATTTTCAGCTCTTAGTAATATTCCGTTTTTGATACGTTTGAACCAGCATGTTAAGGGCATCCAGTTTGAAGCTGCAAGGAACCGTAAAAAAGTTAAATTAAAAACAACGCAACAACAAATTGTAAAGTATATACATATGTATAAGTTTTAAATGATGGAAGGTTTACACATTTGGGCAATTCACAAGGTGTTGTGAAGTTATATTTTCCTAACAAAAGTTGTGTTAAAACACGACGGTTGTGAACACCTGTTACGATTATTTATTATATCTCAGCACTTAACCTCACATAACACCGAATAAACATAGGTTGCAGAGTTGTATCGTCATGTGTTATTTTTCTTCACAAAACAATAACAACATTTTTACAACTGTCATGAAATATCATGACTTCACGACAAACACGACAAATACGACACCTTGTGAATTGCCCAATTAATTACACTGTGCGACAGGGAAAATAAACTTCTTGAGCGTAGATCTGGTCGAATAATAAAGAAACATGCTTAGATGCTTTCTTACTCCTTGAATCTCTCAACTTACTCTTAACAACAATCTTTATATGACTTCACGTATGTAGGTATGTACTAAACATATGCGCAATACCATTTGAACGGCCTAACAAGACATCCGTTCGCAACATAAATACTTTCGCTGCTTTACTCTCATCCATGATTCAATAATACAAGGTTGGATAACCTGGCAGTTGTCTCGCTCCCGCATTCTGCCTTAGCCTGTGTTGCTTCCTTTTTTGATTTATGGAAACTACTACTAAAATACAAGGAGAAATATTGTGTTCGTATAAAAAGTTCAACAGGCAACACTGCCGATATTTTCATCGATTGTTTTGTGGAAATTCATTTTCTTATTGCGCAAATTCAAGTATGCCAAAAAAATCTAAAATAATGGAAATATTTTGAATTAAAACAATAATTTACATATGTATTTCTTTGCAGAGCCTCCGAGTTATTCGAAATTCGTATTAAAGAACTAGAGTTTTAGAAGAAGTAAAGTTTTGCATATTTACAAGTAAGTATACCACACCATAAAAGTGAAAGTGCAAATATTAATAAAAATATTTTCTTGTGCAGGTCCGGATCATCTGTGTGTCCGTCCACATTCGCTGGTGCAGGGATTCTCCCTATTGCAGCCTTTGCATATTTATAAGTATGTATACCACCCCATAAAAGTGAAAGTACAAATATTAATAAAGATATTTTCTTGTGCAGGTCCGGATCATTTGTCTGTCCGTCTACATTCGCTGGTGCAGCGATTTTTATATACTTCCAGGACTCTAATCTGATCGCAGATACAACTTTTTCCTTACCGCAAGCTCAACATCATCGTAGCGCAGCCCACTTTTAGCGCAAGACCTTTACAATATCGCACACCGTGTTCAAAAGAGTCACAACTCAAATAATACGATTGTAAGAAAATGCGAAAAACTATTTCTTAGCACATGGTCATCACATGGACAAGGGTGACTTTACCTTAGGTTTTTTTAACAAATTATAAAAAAAAAATTTCTGCAGCTTTTGCTGAAAGTTAAATAGGAGCTCTGTGCATAATTTCAAAAATTACAAATTTTGAGGTGTGACTCTTTTGAAGACGGTGTGCGATATGCTGGTGTTTTGTATGTAAGTTTTAATAAGTGGAAAAAGTCTAGTGTACTAACCGTTCATCTATAGAACACCCAAAAAAGTACAAAACAGTAAAATTAAATTTAAATTAAAAAACCAAATGTAATTAAATTAGGATGCTCAAGATCTACTTTTTAAATGTAACCATTATAATGATTAACAAGACTCATAAGAGAAAATAGTAGAAAACATTTCCAAAAATTTACATGTTTAAAAAACGAAATGTAATTAAATTACGATACTGAAGACATATTTCTTAAATGTAACCAATATTATGATTAAGAAGACTGATTGGAAAAAAATACAAAACATTAAAATTAAATTTTAATTAAAAAACCAAATGTAATTAAATTAGGACACTCAAGATCTAACTTTTCAATGTAACCAATATAATGATTAGCAAGACTGATTGGAGAAAATAGTAGAAAACATTAAAAAAATTTAAATTTGTAAAAAACCAAATGTAATTCAATTACGATATTGAAGATGTAACTTTTAAATGTAACCAATATAATGATTAACAAGACTGATTGGAAAAAATAGTAGAAAATATTACTAACAAATTGAAATTTGTAAAAACCAAATATAATTCAATTCAAGATATTTAACATGTAATTTTTAAAAGCAACAAATATAATTTTTAGCAGATTAATTTATATGCATTATATCAATTACATCATTACTATTTGTATATTTCTTTATATAGTCTCTTTGAATAAAAGAATAACGCAAACGTCAAGCTGTGAAGCTGTGTTTTCTGTGATCTGTTCAAATTTTGTGTTTAATAAAGCTGTTTACGCTTATTAAAGTAAAAAATTAAAAAAAGTGTTGATAAACTTCTGGTGCACAATTTAAAGATAAGCAAAACATCAAAATTTCCCGTAAATTTGATTAATTTAACTTGATATTCTTAATTGCATGTGCCGAGTATTTTGTTTTATATAATATATTGTTGTTGTACAATTGTTTTTGTTTGTGCACATTGATTTTGCTCTTTTTGTCTTTTTGTCATTTCTGCTGTTTCATCTTTGTCACAGCTGTTTGCGTTGTGTTTATTAGGTGTCAAATATACAGTGCATTTAAAACTGTTCGCTA